CACGAGAGCTATCTCCTTACGCCAACAGTCACGAATGACATTTTGCTAAGCACATAGCTCTAGTGTGCGCCGGCCTTTACGTTACTTCATGTCAGTATCTGTATATGTTCCAAGCTCATTCAAAATTTTTCAAACACACTTGGCCAGGTACACCATCAAAGTGATCAAAAAGTCAAATCACTCAAATGTATAATTATAATAATGAGAATTGAAGCTATTTCGTTTCAGATATATTAATATACTTAGGGAAATCATTGAAAATAATTTCCCTTTTCCCCCCAGAATTTGGGTGTCCATCCCATACCCTCCCGGGAGTATTGTGCATTGACGGCACTTGATACTCGATCCTGCCTTTGCCCCAAATTATTGGCAGACATGATTGTTAACACAGTTTTTTATTTGTTTATTATAACTCATCAAACAAATACATACTTTACCATACATCATAAAATATGTAAAAAGGATTGCATAAAATAAAAAAATAAAAAAATAAAAACTAGGGTTGGCACAAGTTTGATCGCGATGCTCACTGCCTGAATTTAGGATCTAAGTAACACAAAGGAGCTATTTATGAGCATATTACTGGATTTTTTTTCCCACCGTGGCCAAGCAAACTTTTCAGCTTGCCCGGTGTGGATGCATACTCAGAGTAACATCACAAACATCATATTCACTTGAGTACATAACACCAACACACACACAAAAATCATATCATAGATTACACTGATATCGAAGGAACTAGATTCAGTTCCGAAATATCAACAACTCGAACCGACTTGACCTCGTAGCTCAGCAGGGCTGCATAATATGGCGGACCGCGGGACCATTGGTCCCAGAAAATTTTTGAGGTTGGCAGAAAAAAATGGAGGGTAAAACTTTAAAAGTCTCAAAAGAAAAAAGTAAAGAGAAAGAAAGAAAGGAAAAACAGAAAGGAAGAAAATGAGAAAAAATGATAATTAAATAATAAGCTGTAGGTAGTGAACTAGTGATGTTTGCAACATGCAAGTAATTACAAGTTTCCAATGTACCTGTGCAGGCGGCATTCCAGCAGCCTGATACTATGGTCAAAGACAGGCAGACAGCAGTCTAGCAGATATTAATACGAAACTCCTCTATGCAGTTGTTATAATTGATTTCATCTAGTGTATTATAGTTACTTCTGAAAATATCACTCCAGCTATATATGAATACAACTCATTTAACAACTACAGTATGTGGACTAAAATTAAAAAGTCTACGAGTGTGGTGATTTCTTACAATGTAGTAAAAAATCTAAGCAATATGTTCCAATACACAACAGCCTTCTGCCCTTCTCATGAACTTTCATCCATTAATTAAGATGATATTCATAACAAATATATTAAAATTATAAGAATCTAGAATCTTAAACTGCAGACAGTTCCCAGTGGTCACTTTCATCATTCATTAAAATGTGAATGTTTGTTAAATTAAAATATAAAGAATATTTATTCCGTAGCCAAGTTGAAATACGTCTATTTTGATTTCAAATCTAATGAAATGGTGTGTAGAATACACTGAATCTTGTTTATAGTGATGATCAAATTTAAATAAAAACATAAGATTCCCAGTGTTTGCGTGCAGAAAATATTTTCGTTGGCTTTGTGGTCCCAGAAAATAAAATATTTTATGCAGCCCTGTAGCTCAGTTGGCAGAGCATTGGACTAGTATCCCAAAGGTTGCAGGTTCGATTCCCACCATGGTCAAGCAAACTTCTCAGCTTGACCGGTGTGGATGCATGCATACTCACAAACATCACGTTATTGTATATTATCATCACTTTCCTTAGCTACTTTTACAATCGTATATATCCATGCACCTAGTATATTTTATACCTGGTTTACTATGATCATGTAGTGAATAAATACTGTTAAATTCAGTGTTTGAAATTTGCAGTATCCCTGAATATCAACAGGATACAAAAATTTGGTTTTGGATACCAAAATTCACACAAATAATTTGTACCCTAACTGTATACTACAAAATTTCAGACATTAGGAAAACCAATATGTATGGCAATCAGTATGGATAAGTGAAATTTCAAATTCTGCTATATATCCGTCGGATTACTGAGAAAAATTGTAAATTTTGGACCTCGTTTATATAATCAGTTTGGCATTTACTTGCTGGATTCCCACATTCAAGAATCAAGATTCTGGACACAAAAACTGCAAACATTTTTATACTAATGTCCTTCAGGCCAAATAAAAATAATAGTTGGTTTCAGGTTTCACAGCCATGCTTTATATGGGTAGGTAGGTCGGAAAAACATTTTAATTAAAAAATATTTTATCTCAAGTATGCAATAAATATAAGTTGTTTATGAGTAATGTTCACGCGTGATCAAACGGGCGTGTGGGATCACACGCGAGCTACATGTGTTTCGTGAGAAACAAACGCATCAAGGCATTTTCGTCTTTTTTCAGCTGTAGCTACCATGTCAGAATAATGTATGTTTTTAATATTTTATTCAACTGTTCTTTGTGTAAAACTATGATTAACATGACTGGATAATGATTAAACTATAAGCAAACAAAATCATTTGTAGACAAATGAGTCTGATGACTATTTATATATTCTGTTCTTTACGAAAAGATGGTCTTTACTGGGAAATGTCAATAAAATGTTTATGGTCGGTCATATTTTTAACAGGTCGGTCGGAAACCTGAAACCAACTATTATTTTTATTTGGCCTCAGTGATGTGGAGGACCCCAAGCTTGACAACATTTCTGGGAACAAATCATGCATGATATTTAACTGACAGTAATCTAATGCTGCACTTATGCATATAGACAGATGGAAATAATCCACTTTTGAACTGGCTAGAAATAGTATATAAGTCTGCACTGGCAATGATTCTAAGAGCATATTTTAAATACAATATGTTCTTGAATGACTGTGCCATTCGCCAAAAGGAACTTCACACAGTTTGTACAAGCAGACAAAATACACAAATGGGTCATTCCAGAGAAGATCGACAGAGGAAATTTCTGCCATCCGCAGACCTCTCAACTTTGCAGAGAAGTTAAGAGTGAGACTAGTACCGAAAAAATTTTTTCCGGAAAAATTATTTCGGCGACCTTCCCCCCCCCCCTCCTCGCCAAAAAATTTTCAGTCAGTGTACCATTTTAGTGGTCCAAAAATTTTTCCGGACTTACCAAAATTTTTATGCGTTAGATTTACTAAACGTGGCGTGAGAGAGAGCGTGAGACTGAAGCGAATTGCGTGAGACTCCGCCGAATGCGTGAGAATTGAGAGGTCTGGCGTGAAAGCGTGAGACTGAAGCGAATTGCGTGAGACTCACGCCGAATGCGTGAGAGTTGAGAGGTCTGCATCCGGAGGGGAAGGGATAAGTGTATTAGAACGTCTGAAAGAGGTTAACTTTGGATTTTTTCTGGAATGACAAACAAATTATCTGTCTATTGGCTGTGTTTATTATACACAAACAAAAGATTAAATGAACTATTCTTTTCTTTGCCCAAATTTGTCCAGACAGGTATATTGATCTAGGTCATGTAATAAACCTAGGTCTATATCAAGCCGTATTTGATCCTGTTACACAATAATTTATTTATTGAGCTCCATATTAACTGTTTTGTGAACTTCTGTCATTTACAGATTAAGCATTAAATATTAAAGATATCAACACAATCCCTTTAGTGGTGATATAAAATACGTAAAGCAAGACCTTAGAATTAAACTTCAAATTTCAGACAACTAGTTACATTTCCCCTCAAAATTCACAAGCCTGTCACATACAAATACAACATGAATATCACATAAACAAAGATTCGTTTATTTGCAAACGGATATCAAAAATAAATACGTTTAATGCCCACGCTAATCTGCACTTCGACACATAAACATGGCCAAAATTCAACAAACTCGGTCGTGTAACCGGTATTTAGTACGTTCTCTTCAAAATAGACATTAATTTTACCAAAGAAGCTTTGAGAACACTTCGGTTTCGGTTTTAAAATCGGCGCCAAACCGTATTTGCACACGGGACTTTCAAATACAAGCCAAGACAAGAGCTATTATATTTCAAAGCCCCAAATAAGGATACAGCAAACACCTGGCTGAAACGCGTATATTTCAAAATATTTTGCACTATTTTATATAAATACGAAGCTTGGAAAACCTCTTAAAGCTGGGAAACTACATAGGGTCTTTCTTGTAACTCCTCGCGACAAAAACGCAGAGATTTACAGCAAAAAACCTGAAGTTAATTGAAATTCAAAATCACAAAGTCGTTTGCCCGCCCATGTTTGAACGGACTCTCTGACCTTTGATTTCTATCGAAGAGCTTTGAGATTCAGGGACATAAAAGTAGACTATAAACAGTGTATGTTTACTTTAATAAAAGACAAAACAAGTTGAAAACTTACAATTTTTCGTGGTTCTTCTTCCAGCGCCGTGAATGAATGACTTAAAATATTCAGATATAAACAACGGATGTATGGATAGGAAGGGTTATGAAGGGTTTTGACATGGGCCCAGTGCATGAGCCATTTCTGCAGACAAGCCCGCTCGCAGGATAAGGAATTTTATTAAAATTTTTTTGTCCTATGGTTAAAAAAAGAGCAGAAAATTAATTCTTGAAACTGGCTTAGTTAACTATTCTGAAACCTATATGGATTTGTCTCAACAGCATAAACTAGACGATAACTATAGAAATAAATTTAAAAAGTATCACAACTTAAAACTAGCAGAGAAATTTGAGGAAATTTAGGGCTAAAATCATGGCTAAAATAGACGGACTAGGGAATTTCACAAAAAGGACTATATAAAATGGAAGCACCGTCTTTCGGTCTTTGAAACTTTTCAAAAATGGCGGCTCAAATTAGCGAAGGAGTGACAAAAGAGATTTTAAAGCCAGGCTTTGGAGAAATGCCTAAAGTTGGCGATATGATTACAGTTCATTGTACAGGAAGCTTGGTTAACCCGCCAAAGAAATTTTGGAGGTTATATGGCTTATCTGCGTGTTGAAATTTGCGAATAATATTAGACACTTATTAGATTTGCTTTTATAGTGGACACAAGTTGACACAAGACAATCAGTATGAGATTACGAGTTGGAGACTGACAATGACTGAATTATAACTTAAATTGTCAGCCTTGAGTGTAAACTTTGTTTCGTGTGTACTCAAGCAAACTTGGGAATTAGTGAAGTATAAAAACTAGAGCATTAGCAGGCAAAATGAAACCTTGCAATAATAAGACTTTCTTTTGCAGTACAAGCGATCCAGGACAGCAGCCATTTAGTTTCCAAGTCGGTTTAGAGAAAGTTATTAAAGGTATCATTGTCTATTTTTTTTTTTTGCACTACAACATACAATAAATAACTAGCATTGCTTCAGGCAGGTATAAAGGTCGGACCAGATGGCTAGTCGGACTTTACTCGACCCTAACTCTGTCGCTGGTATAAAAGTTGGACCGGATTGCTTGTCCACTTTGGGTCAGGATTGGGTCTGATCCGGCTTTTATACCAGCCTCGTTATTACACTGTGTAATTACACTTTCTAATAACTACCACCAATGTTTTTGTCTAATTATTTCCCCAGGTTGGGATGAAGGTTGTCTCACTATGAAGAAAGGTGAAAGAGCAAGATTTGTTTTACAAGCACACAAGGCTTATGGTTCTGGTGGTTTTCCGGCATGGGGATATCCTTTTTATACGACATTGTGATCTCTTGATTTCCATTGGTCATACTGACAGCAACAACAATGACACCAATAAGAACAACAATTACAAGACCACCACAAATGTGCACAAACAAACAAACAAACAAACAAACAAACAGTAGCTGCAATGATACATTCATAGCAAGTACAACTCACTACAACACCTACAAACAATCACAAAACAACAACAATACGAACTACAACAACAGTGACTACAACACCAACAAGGGCACAACACCACCAACAATATCTAGGTCCAGATATTGTATTTCAAGTCTGTTGCCTATGCCGAGAACAGATTGTCTGAACATTGGCTACAACATCTAACTCATTGGTTAAAAACAAAGTACCATCATTAGTTGAAAACAAAGTACCAGACTGTAATATTGGCGTACCTACTGTACATAAGAACGCAAAATATCGCACCCCAAGTCACATATAATTATCTTTATCTGCATAAAGTATTCTATCCTTTGTTGTACTGTTTTCTTTAACTTGGCTTACAATCCCACAGAATGCACCTCTAGAATTTGACATTCAATTACTGAAGATTAATAACAGATAGAAACAGCATAAAGAATTGAAAAAATATTGAACTGAATTTCTGCATGTAGTTCATAATGTACTATTAGGAAATAGCTTTGTAATGTATTAACTGGTAATAATGCTGTGAATTTTGATTAAATAAATAAAATACTGGTAGTGGATACCAAATAGTGGTTGGGCATTGTTTCGTCTTTCTTTTGTGGGTAGTTCTAAACTCTTATAAGTGTCAATACAAATTATGGAGCACCGTATAATATGGAAACCACCTATATTACTATATAATGAAAGCAAAGCAATTTGCAAACCGGTAGAAATGGAAAAAATAAGCAATGTTCCCCTAAACAGTCTGTACTGTAGTTTGCAAATTAAACAGCGTACCTGAATTGCGTGTGAAAACTCTTAAGTTTGAAAAATACATATTTTATTTATTACATAGATTATACATTAAATTTCTACATTATTACAACTTGTGATTAAAAACACATTGATTAAAAGATAAGTTGCTCAAAAAGTCGAATCTTACTTTGCGGAAGCGTATCAACCGTATGGCAACGTTTGCTCAAAGCGCACAAACCAGGAAACATTGACATTGTTTCCTAGCCATGGCTCCCAAAGGTAGAGAAAAACCAGAAAACATTGTTTTCTAGCCATGTTTTCCAAAGGTGGGCAAACCATTACCATGCAGGAAACATTGTTTTCTGACCATATTTTCCAAAGTTGGGCAAACCAGGAAACAACAAACCGCAACAAAAAAGATTGCGCTTGGGAAACAAAACGTTTCTGAAGTTCTTGGGAAACAAATCATGTTTCCGTAACAGGTTTCGAGGGATGGAAAATGAAGTCTCCACGTTTGCCTAGAGGCTTAGGCGACCTCGAACAACTAAATAAATCCTAAATCGTAAATATTTATATTGCCAATAAAAAGTTTCATAAACTTACAGTACCTAATTATTGTTATCATCTTCTAGAAATGATCTAACATTCGTTTTGAATCGAATCCAAAAAGTGAATTTGACCATAATGGGGATAAGACATATACTGTATCGCTAATTGTAAAACTCGGTCACATAATATTTAAAACCCAATAAATAATGACTAATATTTCTATACTAACTGTGCTATAACCCACTGTTAAATAGTGGACATATTAGAATTGTTTCCCTGGGAATCGAATTATCGAAGAACAAGTGACAAGCACTACATTGGTAGCAACATTAAAGTTTATGAATTGATGGTTTCAATAAGCTTCAGGAGTTCATGAGACGGATGAATCGGATGAAAGTCAACTTCACAAATATTGACATCTATATTGGAACAAGAAAATTATACTACATTTCCCATTTCTAATGTACCAAAAAAAAGATTTGCATTTTTTCATTCTGATAACTACAGGTTGACCACCATCTGCTGCGCGCCTGCGCGATAGTTCTTAGTGAAACCCTAACTAAATGTCAGCTACCAACCGAGTGCTTGCCAACTAGATTCAGCTAATATATTATTTCAACGATTCCGTATCGTTTATTTGAACATATCGTCCAGTTCCGAGTTCAGGTTATCCAACATTCCTTGGATGTCATTGAAGAGCGAGTCTGTTTTACTGCAAAGAAATATACTACAACGTTAATAAACTTTCCCTGCAGTAGATGTAGCTGGTAGAGTTGTCAATATATGTATGTCATGTGTCTTTCTGTGAAAAAAAAACTGTATCTGATGTACCCATGCATATTATTAAAAAATTTTCATGTAAAAAGTGTTGGCAGCATGTGCTTTCTATCTCATGCAGTGACAAAAGTTCCATCCCAACAACACATAGCTAGGTTTTCTCCTGGTAGTCCGGTCTCATTATTTCTATAGTAACACTGAGTCAATAAGAGAGGACTCTTAGTGGACCTCTATAGGGAGAGCAGTTTAGAACTGATAGAGCTTTCCAGTATAAATAAAGTTAGTTTAGTTTATGTTTCCTCCTGTAGTAACACTGGATCAATAAGAGATGATCCTTACTGGGTCTCTAGGGAGAACAGTTTAGAACTGATAGAGCTATCCAGTATAAATAAAGTTAGTTTAGTTTAGGTTTCCTCCTGCAGTAACACTGGATCAATAAGAGATGCTCCTTACTGGACCTCTAGGAAGAACAGTTTAGAACTGATAGAGCTATCCAGTATAAATAAAGTTAGTTTAGTTTAGGTTTCCTCCTGCAGTAACACTGGATCAATAAGAGATGCTCCTTACTGGACCTCTAGGAAGAACAGTTTAGAACTGATAGAGCTATCCAGTATAAATAAAGTTAGTTTAGTTTAGGTTTCCTCCTGCAGTAACACTGGATCAATAAGAGATAATCCTTACTGGACTCTAGGAAGAACAGTTTAGAACTGATAGAGCTATCCAGTATAAATAAAGTTAGTTTAGTTTAGGTTTCCTCCTGCAGTAACACTGGATCAATAAGAGATGATCCTTACTGGACCTCTAGAGAGAACAGTTTAGAACTGATAGAGCTATCCAGTATAAATACAGTTAGTTTAGTTAATAGGTTTCCTCCTGTAGTAACACTGGATCAATAAGAGATGATCCTTACTGGACCTCTAGGGAGAACAGTTTAGAACTGATACAGCTATCCAGTATAAAGTATAAATAAAGTTAGTTTAGTTTAGGTTTCCTCTTGCAGTAACACTGGATCAATAAGAGATGATTCTTACTGGACCTCTAGGGAGAACAGTTTAGAACTGACACAGTTATCCAGTATAAATAAAGTTAGTTTCGTTTAGGTTTCCTCCTGTAGTGACACTGCATGGATCGATAAAGAAATGGCCTTTAATTACTGGACCTCTACGGAGAACTGTTTAGAGCTGATAGAGCTATATCCAGTATAAATGAAGTTAGTTTAGTTTATAGGTTTCCTCCTGCAGTAATACTGGATCAATAAGAGATGGTCCTTACTGGATCGCTGGTGAGAACTGTTTAGATCTGATAGAGCTATCCAGAAAAATAAATTTATAAATTTAGGTTTCCTCCTGTAGTAACACTGAATCAATAAGAGATGATCTTTACTCTTAGTGGACCAGCAGTGAAAACAGTTTAGGACTGACAGCGCTATGCGGTATAATTAAAGTTAGTTTAATTTTCAGAATCATACTTCTGTTCTTTTTGATATTTTTGCAACTCTTCTTCTCGCTTTTGTTGTTCAAGTAAATCTTCTTGAGATAATGTGAGATAAGCTATAAAAAGAGAGAAGACGGATATGTGAAGATATGTTGAGTATAGCTACTAGCTGGGTTTCACTAAAGTTTTTGGTCAGAGATGGGTGTTTATTTTTTTATTGATATTTGAGGTTGGGTAAAATTGTTTTCACTTTTTAATGGTTGAATCAACAAAATTTTTACGAAGAAACACATTTCTCTTCGTTGCCACTCGCGCCATAAATAATGACTGGTCCCTAAGATAAACTTACTGAGTTTTGTAATATCTTCAACTGAACTTCCAGTTGATGGCTTTCGATGCAAACTTTCTTTAATCTCTCGTTGTAATTCTATAGAATGTAAAAATACTTTTTTATTACAACATGAACAACATTAACTTTATCTTTTAAATTCTGAAATAACTTTAACTTTATTCTACATTAACTTAATTCTGGAAAATTTTAAAAAAAATTCCGAGAACTTTTTCAAAATGTCCGAGAATTTTGGAAATTTTTTTTCAAAAGTTCTGGAAATCCCCCCCCTATTATTGCAATAAAGATATTTCCACACAAGCATGTATCTGCCTACCGTCTGATTCGCTATTCAATGATCCCTGGCTGCCAGCCAATGAGCTGTCGACTGAGACGCCACTTTCAGATTTGCGGTCACGGCCGAGTGTTGATGGAGGGGACTGTTCCGAGCCACTTTCTGACAGAGCTTCTGCCTCCTTGATTACGTTGGTAAAGTCGATTCCTGAGTGGGCATCTGGAAATAAAATACAAGGAATAAGTTAACTGTATTTATACTGGATAGCCCAATTCTAAACTGTTCTCCACAAAGGTCCAGTAAGGCCAGCTGGGGCTATCTCAGATACAGTTCAGACACAAACCACGGGCAGCTTATTGAAGAATACTACCTACACTAGATCACCACGTTTGAGATATCTTTTCAGGTAGTTCAGACACAAACCACGACAGCTTATTATAGAATACTACCTACACTGGACCACTACGTTTGAGATATCTTTTTCATGTAGTTCAGACACAAACCACGGCAGCTTATTATAGAATACTACCTACACTACGTTTGAGATATCTTTTTCAGGTAGTTCAGACACAAACCACGACAGCTTATTATAGAATACTACCTACACTGGACCACTACGTTTGAGATAATTATCTTTTTCATGTAGTTCAGACACAAACCACGACAGCCTATTGTAGAATACTACCTACACTGGACCACTACGTTTGAGATAATGATCTTTTTCATGTAGTTCAGACACAAATCATGGCAGCTTATTGTAGAATACTACCTACACTGGACCACTACGTTTGAGATATCTTTTTCAGGTAGTTCAGACAAAAACCACGAAATAAGGCACGAATATACTACCTTCCCTGGACTCAATACTAAATTAAACTTCTTATTTACAATACTAAATTAAGCTTCTTATTCCAAAGCCAGACAGTGTTTCAATAACTCAATAAACAAAACCATATTTCATTAACGCCTATTGATACTGTGCTATTATTGTGAGAAATAATTAAGATATTTCTATAGCCGGCATTCGTGTGATTCATGTCCACAGTTGCGCGTCCAAATATTGAAACAGCGTGTGGTCAAGTTGTATGAATAGCGCACACGAGGAAATTGCTAAGCCAATACATAGTTAATAAACATACCTATAACTCATTTATTCCTTATTTGTCTAGGCTATTAAAATACAGTACTCTTGAGCTATGAGAAGTACGGAATGCTAGAGTATAAACTGGAGTAATATACACTGGACTCATGGACACTGGAGTCATTTACGTACGGATCCTGGACTCGTGGAGTGACGGACTCCAACGCATGAGAGAAGATTCAGTTTCGACTTTGACATTTCCAAACATCGAAGGTTTTCTCAGAGTACCTGTTTTTTCCTGCGGTAACGCTAAACCCATAAAGGATGGACTCGCTTTAAAATGATAGAGCTATCCAGTGTTAATTATGGGTTTCTTCCTGTAGCAACACTGGACGAATACGGAATGGTCTGACTGGATCTCTAGGGATAACAGCTCAGAACTGAAAGAGCTATCCAGTATTCACGAAGTTAGGCGAATCTGAGTTTCGTTTCGTTTTCGAGTGGACATATAGTTTAGTTTACAATTAATAGCTTATGTGCGGGCGCCTTGCATGTGATTGTATTTAGTGTCAAATTCCAAGAACAACATTTGATTGTGATCCGTTTCAGCAAAACCAGATGCGGTGTTTTCACGAATACGATGATCATGACACGAGGCTGGTTTCAACACTTATAAAAGTCCACGTTTCATCCTATGACTATGTCCAAAGTCACACGGATGTGTGATATTGCCATTAAGAGGCATTTTGCCCAAAATTCTTCCGATTGCTAACATCCTGTTGATTTTACTTGGAAACTCAAATCATGGGAACATATTTAGCGTGTATGAGTGCGAAATATTTGAGACATTTTCGCTACGTGCGGTGATAACGGAACCAAAAATTTGCTTACGATGTAGTGACCTTAATTTGGGAGACGAACAAACCACACAACTCTCGGCTAAAACTGTCGCCTGCAACTTGCTTGGAACTTGAGTTGCCTAGTGATGCCTACGATAATGTAAGCGAGTTGTGTGTTTGATTTACACAGTACAACTCAAGTTGTAAGCAGGTTGCATGCGACAGTTTTATACAAAAGTTGTGTAAGCTGCCTTGGCTTTAGAAAATAGAGGTCAAACGAGAACGAGAGTTCAAGCTTTCCCTCGCGTTTGGCCGCCAAAATTTTCTCATCAACTCTCATGCCCTAACATAGATATTTTGAGCTGGTCCAATGCTGGTGAATGCATGCAATGAACTCGTGTCTTTCCAGTTGACTCGAGAGTTCAATTGGTAGATCACACCAATGTTTATGTTGATATTAAAGTTCGACTTCGTGTGTGTAAAACCCGGATGAACAGTGCATGGGATCAAGGAAGCAGTCACGCGACCTTAGCTGTTCTTAATGCTTTCCCAACACTATCATGTATTCTATTTAAGTTAAAACAAGGTTGAAACACTTATCGAACTTTTATTTTGCTAATCTAGAGCTTGAAATGCCCCGTAACAATACGTGACTGCTATAAACTCTTATCCTCAATTGACCGAGGCTGAGTCTAATAGCGTAAGTATGGATTTCCATACCTAAAATGCTAAATTAGTCGAGTGTCACGGCGGTTTCCAAGCTAACAAAGCGACAAATGCTTGTACTGTAAATATCCCAAGGGCAAAGCAATCTAGTAGTAATAAGCGTAGCCCATCAATCGACCCTAATCTGCTTGATTCGGAAACACAGTGCCCATGGTATTGATATCGTAGTATTTATCATAGTATTAATAACTACAAATGATCTGTTTAATGTTACAGGACTTTCATGCTCGACTGTACACAACAAACATCAAAAGGTACTTTTTTGACATGTCCCTTTTGTTCAAAAGCAGGTCGTCATACAAGCCTTTCGATAAGCGAGCATTTTTGTAAGCAAGGCCACAATACGATATTTGTAGACCATACAATATGCCTGAAGCGACTGCTAACTACAGGAATAGAAAATGTTGCACAATCGCCCATTAATAATAAAAGCCACATTTGGGAAACTTTTGAAGTCCGTAGGTAAATTAATATTACCGCAAAATAGTTTCACTGGCGCGATTTTATATACTTCATATGCAATAAATATGCATATATAAATATTAATGTTTGAAATTTAAGCGAAGGCGATGTTTTGAATAAGGGTCATGGCAACATAAATATACGTGATATTTCGTTAAGCACAAACCGTTCCCAAACTGTTGCTAGTTAGAAATACATCCTGTGACATTTTGTAACACTTCACACCTAATTCCAACTGTCTAACAATGTTTTAAGACTAGGATTTCGCTATTTATTTACAGTGTAATATAAGTGAACCACATCTACATGTAAATTAAACCACAAAGCCGTCTTAGATATAAATAAACTTTTAAGTAATCTTTAAGGCGAACATCAAACATCGTAAATTTGCAACAAATACTCCTTAAGAGGAATTACCGTTTGGAATTCCAAATGCGCGAATGATCGTGTGACTATGTTTATTTACCTTACCCGCGAAATGTTTGATCAACGAGGGGATAAAATCTAAAAGACCAAATACTCTCATATATTCAAAGATAACTTCAAAATCCAAACATACCAACAGTATTTCTTACACAGATATATACTTTTGTGGATGAGATGTAGATCGTAATAGCATTATTACTCAATCCTTTGCCTTTGCTCTCCACCACAACCAATATTAGTATTTACTACGCATTAAAATAGAATATAATTTAGCTGAACATACCTGTCGGACTTTGGTGAGGTTTGTTAATTTTTACTCCATTTGCTTTGGGTTTTGGAGCAACAAGGGGCGGTGGGGCTTTTTTGTAAGATTTCGGTTTAACTGGAGGCGGTCTGCCCTTTGGCTTCGCTTTCGCCGTTTCTTCGTGTATGGCGTGTTGGAAAGTCGCTGCAAGCTCTTTCACTCCGTCTGTGGTATCTTCGACTTGTGTGTTCTCATTCATTTCGATTGTGAAATCTGTATTATCCAAATCCTCTTCAATAAATTCGTTTTTTGAGTCAAATACTTCAGCTTCTGAGGTTAAATGCTCACCGCTCTCTTCAAGCTCTTGTCTCTCTGATATTTGCTCCTCCGAGCGACCGAATTCCACGTCTGTTTCGTCAACGTTAGTTTTTCTCGCAACGAAATACGACACTCTTGGAACTGCATATTCGCCCACGCGCTCGTCAGCATGAACTCGCGTGACGCCCACGGACGTGACGTCATCATCACAAGGAAACTCGACGTCCTTCGTTTCTGACGTGCAGGATTCTGGAAGGATGTTTGAGATCGTTGCCTGGTTCTCGATTTCTACAAGGAATAAAAAAAAACAAGTTCAGATACACATGTTACTAATTTTAAAAGGATAAACTTTTGTACGTTACGTAACACGCACTCAAATCTAATGAATATACTTTTTCACTTGATTTAAAAAACTATTTTTATATATTTGGATTCTTGCACTTCACTTGGTGGAATTAATATTAGAATGTTAGGGTTTGTAATCCAAGTGAGAATATATACATTTTAAGACCTAACCAGGGGCGACTGCGAAAAACGACTTTGTGCTGCATTTTTCGCAGTCGTTCCTGGTTAGGTCTTAAAATGTATATATTCTCACTTGGATTACAAACCCTAACATTGTAATATTTTTATATAGCATTTGTAAATTCCGAACGCTGATTGGCTAAGAGCCGTGTTGATAGAACTCAATATCAACACGGAAAATTTATATTTCTTTGTGCTATATTATAAAAAATAAAACATTTTCCCGTGTTAATATACAGTTATATCAACACTCGTGGAAATTGGGAAAACTCGAAATTGTGTGAAAACGCTCCGCCCACTCGTGTTGATGTAACTGTATTTAAATTGACAATATTTAACTATTATTTTGCGTTTCTCAATCGCCAAACTATAAAATAAAGCTAAAGCAGACGGTGAGACAAATGTGCACCTTTCAACTTCGGGACAATGAAAAGCTCACATTGAGAGGGAACAAAGATTTTCATAGAACGACCGACACAATTTGAAAAGAGGCAAAAGACTTTACTTCAAAGACTGTGAGAAAGAAGTTTCTTTTGTGTTCTGTTTTTTTTTAACATGGACACCAGCCTCGTATTAATATTCTAGGCGGTATATTAAAACGATTTAGCACCACTAGGAAAAGCTGTGAAGTGACTAAAAGACCATTTATAGGATAATTAATCTCTTTAGCTTCACAGATGAAAATGAACTAATAACCTATACAAATCCCACATTCTTGGCCAAAAGCCAGTGAACGGCAGACGACTTTCTCCTTATATACCACTTCCTTCCCCCCTTCCCTCATTTAATGTTGTTTTATGTAACTTTCATAGATGAAAATCTGACAGAACATTACTGTTACCGACAGAACATTAGGGAGCTTAAGCATGTAGGACGACAACACGACGACAACCAATAAAATGAGTCAATGAAAAGAAATAAATCATTAAAATCCCAGGGCGAGTTTCAGACGTAGTCTTCGCTCTGTTTACAACGGCAAATCACAGATTTTCACGTCTTTTATACAACGCCTGCATTTCAAGCCGTAACAAGTGCAACTTAAAATTCGGTTCAGTAGAACTCTTCCCAAACATAAAGCCAATGTTTTCAACTTCTTATACTGTGTCTGTATGAAATTCATACGAATTATAATATACGACAAGTCTTCTTTACTATAATTTATTTGAAGGAATTTGGCCGTCGTCGTCGTGTTGCGTCCTGCATGCTTAAGCTCGCTATTGAACAGGTGGGGGGGTTGTCATACTTATAAAATGTAACAAAAATAAATTTATGGGAAAACTAGTGCGCACGTTTCTATATACAAAAGCTTGATCTATATATAAATTAAACTTAGGTGTGTTTCAATAGATGTGCTTTCTCACGATCTCTGGTGATTTTATAGCTTCCTAAAACTATCAAGATTCATTCTGGAACGACTCTGAAACATTCTAAGTGCAAAATAATGGGATTACAGGAAGCAGTATATTTTACTGTCTTTATCTTTCGGATATTACGAAAGTGATGCAAAGAAAGCCACTCTTAACTGATTACTGTACAAAGAGTTTCATTTTCGAACTGTTTGCCATTTATAAAGCACCTACAGGCGAACACGTTTTGTTCGTATGCACGGAATGTTGTTAAACGTTTGTCTCACGTCAAAGCCGCCTTTTGTTTGCCAAAACCGCAGAAGTATTTCTTTGTATTTTTTCTGTGTTGGTGGTGTTATGTACTCAGGTGAATATGATGCTTGTGATGTTACTCTGAGTGTATGTCCACACCGGGCAGGCTTGAAAAATATGCCTGGCCACGGTGGGAATCGAACCTACAACCAGTTTGGAATACTAGCCCAATGCTTTGCCAACTGAGCTACGCGGTCAGGTCGGTTCAAGTATGTGATATTTCGGAACTGTGTCTAGTTCCTACGATATCAATGCAATCCATAGTAATCCTGATTTTTTCTGTGTTGGTGGTGTAATCTACTCAGGTGAATATGATGTTTGTGATGTTACTCTGAGTGTATTTTGTGATGTTACTCTGAGTGTACACCGGGGCCCGGGCAAGCTTGAAAAATATTTCTTTGTACATTGTATGTGTCGTTTCCTTGGTGGTCGTAAGCACGAAGTTTTGTCCAAAAGCTGGTATGAGTAGCTTTGAAACAAGTGTTCTTTGGCAAGGAAAAATTGTCCGTCTTTTACCGCGTACACACGAGCAAATATAACTTATCAAGGAAAAATTGCACGTTTGTGGGTAGCCGTGTCAGTCATAAGCTCGATCTTCAGCCATGCCCATACAGTAATAAGGGCACTAATTACACTTCACTTAATTCAAGGCCGCAAGACTAAAATTGTTTAGTTTTTCCAAAAAAGGAAAAAAAAAATGCTAGTCGATTGACCACACCATTAACATGTTAAGTGGGCACTCCTTCACTTCAGGTGGCTATCACGCCTCCCAGTACAGGAAGCTTTTAATTGCTACGGGCAACCAAGGCACTTAGGGGTTGATTATGCGAGGGTATAGTCGAGATTGCGCGCAGATTCTTGAAGCCTGGTTCACACTGGCAATTTGATCGGCGATTTTGTGTTTGTGACGGATGCAAATGAGTGAACTCGTACACAAAAGTATAGAGTCGCTTTTCAGAAGTAAACAATTCTAAGTCTTTTGCATGTCATTCATTCGAGGAGGAGAAAAATCGCCAACAGAATAGACCTTCATAATGACGTCACAAGGCTTGATGCCCGCGAGGAATGATTAATAGTCACTGCTCGGGAAATTTGAACAATTCAAAATGGCCACTATCAAAATTTTCCCGGGTGAGGACTACTAAGATCAGCATTCCTCGCGGGCATCAAGCCTTGTGACGTCATTATGCATGAGGTATATTGCTAGTGAACCAGGTCATAGCCTATCGAAGGGAAGATGGCTGAGAAACTCATTAGAATAACATTATAACTCATTATCTATGTTGGTCAACGTTTACTCATAAATCTGGTCCTTCACCGCCACGTGTGTATTGTATTCTTACCCAACTAACCAATAGCAATGTTTTAGGAAAGTCACCTATCCGTGACTCGAATAGGGAAACTGGAAATTGCTATTGGTGGATTTGGCAAAAATACAATATACACATGGCAGTGAAACGACCAGATTTATGAATAAACGTTGACTAACATAGATAATGAGTTATATTGTTATTCTAACGAGTTTCACAGCCATCTCCCCTTCGATAGGTTATGGTCAGGCTTAAGACCCGTTTACACTTGCAATTTTCGGCTGCGATTTCTAGTGCAATTTTCGTCTTCTGATGGATGTGAACGAGTGGATGGGTTATGAATGTTCAGATGAGGGAACGTGTACTCAGAATATTCATTACTCGTCTACTCGTTCACATCCATCAGAAGACGAAAATCGCACTAGAAATCGCAGCAAAAATTGCAAGTGCATGTAAACGGGCTTTAAGGAGGTATTATATAAGGCTGGCCAACCCGCACACCCAACACGGCCCGCCTTATACAAACACCCTCTTCAGAATCCGCGCTGTCTCACCGCTCCTTCAGAAATCACAGTTTCCACAAACAACAGCATATATCAATACTACACTCAACATCGCAAGACTGTACAATAACATCGCCGCAAACCGGTTGTTCAAGGGGCGATTTCTTTCCAGCATTTCCAAAATGTGGAAACACTGCATGTTTTATAGTTAATTGACAAAGTGAGACGCAATGAGACAAATGCAATCTCCAAATTCTATAACCATTTTATTGCTAAAATTCTTTAAAATTTTCAACAGTGGCTTGCAGTAAATGTAGTCCACCTTGTAATCAATTTTAGACTCATATGCAATAAGATATTGGTTTAGAATAGTTGGGGTATAAGAGAATCTGGAATATTTGATACTGAGACGCTGTACAATGCCTGAAGTTTGAACTCAGTATGTTAATGATAATATTTAAGTGTTTTAGTTTTTTAATATACTTTCTAATTTTATTATATCATCATCGTCATTACTATCGTTATCATTACAATCCTTATTTTATTATAATTCTTTACTTTTATTATTATTTAATTCTTTGTACATGTTTATCATTTGAAATGATTCTCACTTTAATCAGTACTTGCAATGGCCTCGGTTCGACAAATGACCAACTTTTCAAGCCAGCCAGCTCACCCATATTTCAAAACCCAATACCAAACGGTCATAAAGAATTATCCGACGACAAGGTGGACTACATAATAAATAACTATCTGACATTTTTTCATTGATTTAAATTTGCAGTTCAGCATGTAGCTCAAACCATCGCAAGACGGCGTATAAGTATACTTCTTAAACGGAAATGGCAATATATTTTTTTATTTTCTAGCTCATTCGAAAGATTTTTTAGAACTATATGTAATACTCTTTTACCGTTTTTTCATATCTTGCTTACTTCTACAAATATTTTGATTGAAAGGAATGAAATGTCCGCCATCTTTAATTTTTGTAGATATGCATGTCACGTCACAACAAGTTATATACAATATTTTTATCTGGACAAAGCTAATCATTTTGCACTCAAACCTATACTCTGTCTGCCCTTCGAGATATCAAGATCACTCAAAACCTTTAAAACATCTACCAATCAATATTTGGTCAGCAACGAATACTTTTATATGGTTAATCCCTGTTGTGACGTCACCAAAACTACCGTTAACGAGATAAAAAATGTATCCAAGATGGCGGACATCTCATTACTTTCAAGTGATTTCAAGAACTAAGCAAGATATGAAAAATCGGTAAAAAAAGTTAATATATATAGTTTCAAAAGTTCTTTCAAATGAGAAAATAAAAATTTATATTTCCATTTCCCCGTCCATTTGTTAAATGCGACGTTAAACGAAATACCAAGCATGATTTGTGGCATGGGGACAGCCTGTGTTGTTTCCACCAACGTGGATAGATGATCCGTCAGAATATGCGAGGTACATGCTAAAACAATTATTCATCAAAGTTCATTTGATTCCATGCTTTATGGACCAATAATTCTTCATTAAATTTTCACACTCACTTTGATGAATAATCGTAAATAAGGAAAGAATCGCTCCTTAAACAACCGGTTTCCACGCAGTAGTACCTCTTTGTTGTAATTTCTCGGTAGCCATGAGTATTTTACGTTGATGCCCAATTTTTGTGATGCCAATTGCCTCTAAGTCTTCTTTCGTTAGATCCGAAAGAAATTCCAGATCATCAAAGCCGCCTTCAATAAAGTGATTCTCGTATCGCGACAGACCAATGGATTTCAGCCAAGATGGTACGTTATTCTAAAAAAAACCCATGAGAATTTCACAATGTATTTTCAAGAAAAAAAATCCTAATCTTAAACCAATCTTGACCGGTACCTCAGACGAATCCTTACACAGAACCTCTAGGAACAACAGTTTATAACTGATAGAGTTATCCAGTATAAACAAAGTTAGTTTAGGTTTCATCCTGTAATAACACTGGGTCAATAAGAGATTATCCTTACTGAACCTCTAGGAAGAACAGTTTAGAACTGATAGAGCTATCCAGTACAAATAAAGTTAGTTTAGTTTAGGTTTCCTCCTGTAGTAACACTGGGTTCAATGAGAGATGATCCTTACTGGACCTCTAGGAAGAACAGTTTTAGAACTGATAGAGCTATCCAGTATAAATAATGTTAGTTTAGTTTAGGGACTGGTCATAAAGTAACTGCTAGGGTGGGCTGGAGGTATATCACAAATTTTGTCAATAAGTTCGGTGACCCATCTTAGGATGTAGATAAAAATTTCAAAGCCCATCTGATATTACAAAAAAATTTTCATGACCCATCCAATCTAAATTGGGAAAATACACTTTTATAATAAAAAAAAATTGCAGGTATGAACATTGTAAATATACATGCACGGCACTGTATTGACATACATAATTCCACCAAGCTTGACAAACACATTGGTACTGAGCTGCTCTCCAGTTGGTTGTATTTGCTGTGATTCGACCACTTTTTGTTGTTGTATAAACATAGTACTGCCTTCAGTAGACAATAGCATCATTTGCATTTGATAATTTGGATAGTTTTGTTTACTTTTATTATTAGTATCTTTATTTTTTGAAGTAGACATGCATGTTTTTTTGTTTGATGGCCCAACCGTGGAAATACAAAAAAAATTGGCGGCCCATCGAAACTGCCCAAAGATTTTCCATGGCCCATCCCAAATCACTCCAGCCCACCCTAGCAGTTACTTTATGACCGGTCCCTTAGGTTCCCTCCTGTAGTAACACTGGATCAATAAGAGGTGACTCTCACTGGACCTCTAGGGAAAACAATTTAGAAATGATAGAGCTACCGAGTATAAATAAAGTAGTTGAGTTACGAATATTTTCGTGGATAGAAGATAACCATACCTCGTACGTGAATACAGGTTTTGACAGTTTGGACGCCTCGGATAAAAGTCGTTTGCGATGACCAGTTTTTGTTATGAGAATTTCTGATAAATCCTAGGAGATGAAACACAGTGTCAATTTTTATACCAGACAAGGTTCACACGTTACGTAATCACGAGTTTGTATCAAATCTGAACTTACTTCCGCAGTGAGGTCGGCCATTGCAGAGAGATCAAACCCAGCAGCTGCAAAGTTATCCATGTAAGCCAGCAGCTTGGATTGGGCCAGCCAATCATAGAGTTCATCATACTCACGCAGCTAAACAGAAGATTATCAAGTCAGTTAATATGATTTTATGGATTTTGGGCATCGGCACTCGACATTTGTTGATGGGTTTTGTAGATGGACGATTTCCAGCTACAGACTAAATTTTGATCTAGGCAAGAAGAACAAAATCTATTACCACAGCTAGAAAGAGCATGTTGTATCAAGTCAGTTAATATAAGGATACATTTTTTGTGTGTGTTGGTGTCATGTAATCAGGTGAATATGATGTTTGTGATGTTACTCTGAGTGTGCGGGCAAGCTCAAAAGTTTGCCTGGCCACGGTGGGAATCAAACCCGCGACCTTTGGAATACTAGTCCAATGCTCTACTAACTGCGCTACAAAGTCAAGTCGGTTCGAGTCGGTGATGTTTCGGAATTTAGTCTAGTTCCTTCGATATCAATGTATTCTATGATACTTTTTGTGTATGTTGGTGTTATGTACTCAGGTGAATATGATGTTTGTGATGTTACTCTGAGTGTGCATCGAAACCGGGCAAGCTGAAGGGTTTGCCTGACCACGGTGGGAATTGAACCCGCGACCTTTGGGATACTAATCCAATGCTCTACTAACTGAACTACGAGGTCAAGTCGGTTCTATTTTGGAACTCAATGTATTCTATGATACTCTTTGTGTGTGTTGGTGTTGTGTTGGTGTTATGTGTTGGTGTTATGTGTTGGTGTTATGTGTTGGTGTTAGGTGAATATGATGTTTGTGATGTTACTCTGAGTGTGCATTCACACCGGGCAGTCTGACCACGGTGGAAATTGAACCCACGACCTTTGGGATACTAGTCCAATAAGGCTTTTCGGCATCGACTCTCTATTTGTTGAACGGTTTTATGGATGGAAATTGCGAGTGTAAATTTTATACATTTATTACATCTAACCAGAAACAGTTGCGAAAAATACAAGTATAGGCCCTCTGACAGGAATCGAACCCGCGGTCCTGCTATAATAAAATATTAAATATAGCAGTGTTAGCATCGAACAGACACTTTACCCTTAAATTTGATACACCAGACGGGGGATCCGGGAGAACTTGAGGCACTGGGGGGACACGAAGAACTGGCAGTGCGGTAGAAGTTGATTCTGAAACGAAAAAAATATGAGAGTTGAAAGAGCAGCCTGTATACAAGGTGGTAGAACGCCATGTTTAATAGAAAGACAAATATCATACTCTCGCTTGAATCGTCCCTCGTATCTTGGTGTATTTCTTTAGATTCATTGCCTGAAAATACAAATGTAATATTTCACCTTTCAACAACTTCGGTTATTCATAGCTGGGTGAAAGCCCTCTGGGTTAAAAGTTAACGGTTTTCACTTGTTTCCATCTACCAAACACGTCATTTGATCAAATTCTAAAGTTGTTTCTTTTTGGATTTTTTTATTAACTTGGTTAGGGTTAGAATTTGGGTTGCAGTTAGGGGTTAGATTAGGGGTAGGGTTTGGGTTTTAACCCCTCTTCCAATTCCATCTTCCGAAAATGACGTCACGACCGTTTGGTAGGTGGAAACAAGTGCTGAACAAAGTTAACCCGCTGTTTTGGTTAGGGTACATCTGCACTTGTGTTTATTTCAAAACTTTGGAAAATAAAACTTCTATTGAACCAGACAAGAATTCTGGAAAACTATTTTCAGGTTTATTAACAAGCTGTTGGGAAATTTGCTTTGAAATTTTCGTTAACCTAGGATTGAACTGACCACAGACCACTTACTACTTTGCTGCTTCTTTCCAGGCTGTTGTCCGCTGACCTCAAAGTTCTCATAGGAATGACGACCTGGCTTTTCTGGTTTTGATTCACCCGACTTCGGCGGGCTGGACTCGCCTGCATTTTTCGCTCCCTCCTCAGGCATACTTTGCGGTAATCTCCGCACTTCGAAATTTCGTGTTTTTAACGGTATAAAGTTCTCGTAAAACATTGAGGAGACGGCCAGGGGTTTGGATGGTGTGGGTGGATTTACAGGGGAGGATGCCGGAGAGGAGGGGCGTTTTACAGGGTTGATCATGACGTAACCCTTTTGGTCAACCGCCACTTCCGGTTTCGTCCATGTTCGCTTTAGTCTCGTCATATCTTCGTAGCCATCTCGAGATTGGGAGCTCGAAGGTGGATAAAGAGTGGCGTGGGTCGTAGTTTCAGTCCTTTCTAGGGTGTCAGGTCGGGGAAGTGGGTGGTCGGGAATTAGTTCTAGGGTGTTAGATTTGGGGCGAGGGTTATTATCAATATGGTCAGGAGAGTTCTCCATTTGTGGATCTTCATTAGGGGAGTTTTCCATTAACATATGTGGGGGCGGGGGGAAGTCACCAAGAGAGGTTGAAGAAGGAGAGGCTAGACTTTCTGGAGGAGGCGGAAGAGGGGGTGATGGTGAACGTTGGTTGCTGACAATAGCTGTGGAAGGTGGGGTTGTATTATCTGTGGGGTCTGATATAGAAGGTGGAGGTGGGGGGAAGGAAGGTGAAGGTGACCGAACTGGTTGGTAAGATGGGGGAAGGGATGATAATTCTATTTGGGGATGAGGGGGTAAAGTTTGTGAAGGTGCTGGTACAGGCTGTTTGAAAAAAGTAGGGGATGGTAATTCACTACTTTTGATCAAGGATGGGGAAAGGGGTGACACTTCCATTGCTTTGGGGAGTGGTGGCAAAGTAGGTGATGGCGATCTAGGTGTGCTTTGGGGTGAAACATCACTTGAACCTGGTGATGGTGTAGATGATCCGGAGGGTGGTGGTGGTGGGGGCGGTGGTGGTGATGTGCCCCTCCTATCAGCTCGGAACGAGGACCGATTCTTTTTATCAAGTTTTGGAGGCAGTACTGGATCAGAGACTGCAGGAACTGAAGGTCTCCCCCCGGACAGCGAGTGCCGTTTTTTCAAGGGCAACGGTGGTAGGTCTTGCGAGTTTGCTACTAGAGATGACATTGTGAAATGTCGAGATTTCTTGGGAAGCGAAGGATTGGATTGTTGTAGTGAGAGGTGGGTCTCTGATGATGATCGATTTGGTTCTTGAGTATGGGTATCACAAGGTTGCCGTTGTTGCTGCTGCTGCTGTTGTTGCTGCTGTTGTTGCTGCTGCTGTAATTGCTGTTTTAATTGGTGTTGTTGTGCCTTTTCATGCTGTTGTAGCTGTTGCTTTTGATGTTGTTGTTCTCGTAGTGTTCGCTCAATCTGTTGCTGTTTCTCAGCTTCATGTTGTTTTTCACTATTCTCTTGCTCAATTCTCATCTGCTGTCTCTTCGACCTTTCCTCTTGTTGTCTCTGCAACTCCTGACGTAACTTTTCATTATCCTCGCTTCCTTGTTTCCCGAACATTTGCTGTCCTAACCTAGCATAACTACCGCCCACTCGTACAGACTTCTGTGTCTCATTTGCCCTCACAACATCCTTGTTATTAGTGCTTGTCTTCCCATTGTCCGTGCTATCTAAACCTGTCTTCCCACTGCCCTTGTTGTCAGTGGAGCTTGGCACAAACACATCAACGTACTCCGTTTTGGTCGGAGGAGCTGAAGGCTGCTCGGATTTATTGTTATGATTTTCCACTACCACAATATCCAAATAATTTAATTTCTTTTTCTTCTCGTGAGCATCGCTTTCCGATCGTGATCGGTCGCTATTGTTTCGGTGACTTTCGCCATTCTTCGCGGCTCGATGTGAACGGTCATCGGGAACAGAGATGGATTTATTTGGCGCCTTTTTACGGAAACTACTCATCCTGGGAGCATGTGACTTGCTTGCTACAGGTTGATTGGCTAAAAATATGGAAGGGCATCCATTACACTAAACTGACTTTATTTATATTGAACAGTTCTGTTAGTTCTAAACTGTTCTCCCTAGAGGTCTAGTAAGAGTTATCTCTTATTGATCTAGTCTTACTACAGGAGGAAACTTAAACTAAACTAACTTTATTTATACTGGATAGCTCTATCCTGTTCTCCCTAGAGGTCATGTGAGGATCATCTCTTATTGATCCACTGTTACTACAGGAGGAAACCTAAACTAATTAAAGCTAAGGGACCGGTCATTATTTATGGTGGGGGGTGGCACCGAAGAGAAAAGGGTTGGGTAAACTAAATTTTGAGTAAGTAAAAGGTTGGGTAAATGAAAAGCAAAACAACTCAAGGGTTGGGTAATAAAAAATTATTGTCATTTCCAAAGCATGACTCACTGAAGTATTGGGGACTAAAAAGCAATGGCAACAGTAGGCCCTACTCTGGGGCGATAACGAGATAATGCGAGTTTAAGCAATTTTAGGTGATTTAAGCAAAATCTGCAATTTAAGCAATGCGAGTTTGAGCGATATAGGGCAATGTAAGAAAACAATTAAAATTTTAGGGAATGCTGTTTTAGGTGTTCAGAGGTAATTTCAGGAATATACAACTATATCGCTGATGACTCCAATGAAATTACCATTAACCTATGCCAAGCATCCAAACATGAGTGTTCCCACAAACACACACACATGCAGTGTATGAAGCAAAATATACAATTTGACAAGAAAAGTTGAAGTCTGCTTGAGGGGGGTTCTGGAAACAAACAATACACTGTATGCGCATGACGATCAAGTGTTTAAAGGGTAAATAAGCTCAATATTCATGACTTTTTTCATCCATTGTCTATTTCGAAGCCATTGGGGTATTATTAAATTCATGACACAACTGTAATACATGACCACGTGTTCACATCGTATGCAATTGCAAACAATTTTCAAAGGAGTAGGGTACATAATTGCAATATAACAACATATAAGTAAATTATACATGTCATGAACTTACCAGTTTGTGTTGAGTTAAATTTAAAATTTTTTATGTGATATCAAATATTATTTATTTATTTGCAAATCAAAACATTTTAAAATTCTCGTGTTTTGTTTTGTATTGCGCCCGCGATATATTAATGGTATTAACTGCTGTGAATATGATATACATTTTTAATACATTACATTTGCACTCAAAAGTTCAGGAAGTGAGTTTCTAGAAAGGATGAAAACTCCGTTTTATATATGGTATGTAAAAGGTAATCGTTCTTTACTGTTTACTGTTTATTTTGTATTCAGGTATGGGGAATTTAAGCGATGAGAGTTGCAAAACTTGCAAATGTAGTCGGACTAGTTTCTTTGACGTCATCTGTGACGTCATCATGCAACTATTTAATATTGTGCTACATTCATTATTCAATTTATTCGCAGCAATTAGCCTTCTATAAGCCATACAAATGATTATAGCTTATAGCCCACCTTGCCTTTAACATTGATCCTATATATAATGAATTAACATAACTAACTTGATTATGTTGCTAGTCGAGTATGGGACTATGGGTCTTCTAGATCCTAGAGTAGCATAATGAATATAAAGTCTCCGTAAGGCGGTAATATTAAAGACTGTTCTTATTTATGCATGACCTTTGACAATTAAGTGGCCAAAAATTGTGCCTACAGTAGTCAACTTATTCCACTATCCAGGTTGCAACACTTTTGATTGCAAAACACCCGGGTTTATTATACATAGATTTGCTAGCAAAATAGCAGCAATTGATGAACTTGGTGTTATACTAAGATTTACTAAATGTGTAAAGAAACAACGAAAAGTATATATCAATCAGAGTCACTATCTTGATCAATTTCCGATAGGATCTCCAAAGAAAGTAGCTACATGTGCAGACAACATGAAACTTCAGACTGCAGAAAATTTCACAATCGGAATCCGTTATCAAACTTATGTCACAGAAGTGGTAAAGGACATATGTGACAACTGAATGGTACCTTTTGTAAATTTTTTGGCCAGGGGTGGGTATTTATTTTTTAATTGATATTTGAGGTTGGGTAATCAATTTTTTTTACTTTTTAATGGTTGGGTCAGCAAAATTTTTGCTACGAAAAACATTTCTCTTCGGTGCCACCCCCCGCCATAAATAATGACCGGTCCCTAACTTTATTTAAACTGGATAGCTCTATCAGTTCTAAACTGTTCTTCCTAGAGGTCCAGTAAGAGTCATATCTTATTGACCTACTGTTACTACAGGAGGAAACCTAAACTAATTAAAACTAACTTTATTTATATTGGATAGCTCTATCAGTTTTAAACTGTTCTCCCTAGAGGTCCAGTAGGGATAATCTCTTATTGATCCAGTGTTACTACAGGAGGAAACCCAAACTGAACTAACTATTGCACCGTTCTGAAAGACAACGCTTCTTAGCGTAACTCCAAGTATTCTTTACTAGTAATTTCAGCAACTACAACACTCACGTGGTGCAACCGTGACGATTTCAAAAGTGTTTGAAACAGTGCCCACGGTTGAAACTTTTGATGCTTCGCTTGACGAGCTGGATGACCGTTTCACTGAAAAAATATCATAATAATTTTTCAAGTCAGTAACGTATGTACGTACGCAATAGTCAAACGAAATACAGCAGCGACATCACAACAGCTGAGGCCAACAATTGATGATTCCCCTTTGCATTGTGGTTATAGTGGTATCACTGATAAAGAAGCGGCCTCGAATGAAAATGTTGAATGTTTTGCTGTTGGCTATCGCGCAATTGACCCTAGCTTTTTTTTTAAAGTTCTTGCACGGGTCAGGACAAAAAATAAGCCATCCTGAATATCAGTGATACCACTATAAAAACGTAATAAGGGGAATCTAGTATTGATAAGATATATAAGGCAGATATATAAGGCAGTATAAAGAAGGAAGAGTACAGTATTATTATTTAACAATTATTCGCCGAAGGCGAGGTGATTATCGGTGAATAAAAACCGAGACGAAGTCGAGGTTTTTATTCACGATAATCACCGAGCCTGAGGTGAATAATTGTTTTAGTATAATTTCATAGGTGATTATTTGCAAACAAATTTTAAAATGCACATTTCTTCGTCATTTAATTGACAAAACGGCTTCGACCGCCATTTTGAAAATCGCTTAGGTGATTATCGCGTAATAATCACCTCAACGGCAACCAATCAGCGTGGAGAATTTTCAATAATCACCTATGTAATTATACTAATTGTAATTATTATTATTATTAATGTTAAACACTCCCAAAAGGGTTTTTCGCGCCATTTGTAAGCTCACAGTCTATCTCGGTCTGCTTCACGCCAGTTCAGGCTGTAATTGTAATGCGCACTTGATCATATACATATGTAAAATTGCGCAATAGAAATATTAAATTAAATTAATTAGATGAATGGCTATCACTGTTTCAATATTACAGAACAACTTTCTTACGAAGTGTAGACGCTAAGCAACCAAAAAATGTCAAATTTTCACTTTGATCTATTATTGAAACTTTCCCAAGAGGAGGTGCATGACTTTTCAGGGGAGGTGCAAAAATTCTCAAGGGAGGTGCAACCGTGCAAAACGATCTCAGGGGGAGGTGCGCACCTCCCCCCATCTCCGTCAAAATCTAGCCATAGATCGTACCTGAATGCCGAGACGGTGATCGTAGTACTTTCACGACGGATGAAGGAAAGAAACCAATTCTTTCTTTCTAAAATATGGAAATTAAAGACGATGTAGATTACACAGCCAGAAATCTCACAGGCCTGTCACAAGCTGTTGATTTTACCGGCTTGCGGCAAGTTGTCAACAAGTCGCGACAGGTCTGTTGGTTTCGTCAGGCGGTAACAGGCTTGCGGTAACAGGTCTGTCGCAAGCTGTTGACAACAGAGCCACAGAATAGGAAGTTATACCAGAAGCGTAACTCGAGCAAATATTTGTCCACGTTTTTACAAGCGATTCGTCATGAATCACGCCATCCTGGCTAGTACAACCGGCACTTTGTACCTACCAAATTCTAATAAAAACTTCCGGCTGTACTAGCCAGGATGACGTGGCCTGACGTGAGCGAGTTAAAATTTTCGTGGACGTCAAACAATAAGGGAAACGACTAGAGTTACGCTTCTGGTATAACTTCCTATTCTGTGACAGAGCCGTAGCGACTTGTTGAAACAACCCGCTACAAACCTGTTACTAACAAGAGATAACAGGTCTGATAAAACAATTTGCAGCAAGTCTGTTGAAATCAACAGGTCTGTTACAACCTGTTCCAACAGACCTGTCGCGAGTTGTTTTTGTCAAGTCTGCAGCAAGCTTGTTATCAACCTGCGACAAACCTGTCCACAACAAACAATTTTTGTCCTGTCACAACAAGTTTCAACAAGCCTGTTGTAGGGAAACAAATCGAAAATGTGAGTAAAGAGATATAAAATCGCATGAAATGGACACTTCCGGCTTCACTTTCTCATTTAATCATTGTCATTGGTGGCGATATTAAATCACATAGGAGAGATTATAGTCCATAGTATCTAATCTCTGATTATTATAAAATGCAAAAGCCGCTGTTTTATTTTTTTTAAAAAAGTTCCGATTTCCAAAATCCAAATTCCAATTTGCTGACGTGCTATATTTCTTTAATCTGATTGGATAAACGCGTGTGCACACGTCATCATTACGTAATCATGTTTAGTTGTTTTTCAATTTTGAGCCAAACAAAATTTCAACAACTGCCTCAAACAAAATCAAACAAGTTCAAAGCTGTTTTGATTTTTGAAGAAACTGTAGCAATGAGAATACAAGATCTAGAGCTTAAGAAATGAACAATACATGAACAACCGAGTGTTCACTGCAACGTTCGTCATTGCTGATATGAACATGAAATTCGTTATATAATTTCTTTCCAATTTCAAGTGAAATCTGCGAGCGAGGAAGACGCCTTATTGAAGCTTTGTGTTTATGGTATGTACTGTTTTGAAGAAAAATATGCAAGTAGGTTGTCATATTTCGGTCGTACTTCAAGACAAATAATTTTGAAAATTGTTTACGATAAGAACCTTTCTTGAATTTGTCGTATTTTTTCGGATGTTTTGCTCAAAAATTATCTCGCAAGTTTGTTTATAAAACTTTATATTCATATATAAAAATCATCTCGCAAGTTTGTTTATAAAACTTTATATTCATATATAAAAATTATCTCGCAAGTTTGTTTATAAAACTTTATATTTCAAACTTCTATTTTACGAAACACTACAACCGAAATATGGCAACCTGTTTGGCCGTTTTTTTGTTCAAAATAGTGGATAGACAAGCTTCATAAGGCGCTTTCCTCGGTTTGCAACAGGTCTGTCGCAAGTTGTTGAAAACAGCATTGCTGCAGCTCTGTGTCAACAACTTGCGACAGGCCTGTTGAAAACAGCATTGCTGCAGCTCTGTCACAACAGCTTTTAACAGACCTGTTGAAAACAGCATTGCAGCAGCTCTGTTACAACAGCTTGTAACAGACCTGTTGAAAACAGCATTGCAGCAGCTCTGTCACAACAGCTTGTAACAGACCTGTTGAAAACAGCATTGCAGCAGCTCTGTCACAACAGCTTGTAACAGACCTGTTGACAGGCCGTTGCAGGTCTGTCAGAACAGACAGGTACAAGGCGAGCGAACGCATCCAGATATCGGCTTGTTGACAACAGGATTTAACAGATCTGTTGCAGATCTGTTCCGACTTGCGCGTTTCTGGCTGTGTAGAATATAACTTTGGCTACAGAATAAGAACTGGTAAAAGTTGGAAAAAGTATTGGTAAATCCATTGGTGAACTGTTGCACGTACTTGGTCGTCTCTTACACATCCTTTCCACATTCCATCTTTCTTTCTGTCAAAAACCTGAAAAACAGGACACAATTGACCCAATATGAATAGGATTCAATACGATTCTGTGACTTTCTTGACACCGGGGCAGGGCCGCCGAGAGGTTGGAGGGGGCCCGGGGCAAATTTTTTTTAGGGGGCCCCCTATCAAAAAATTTTTTTCCGCAAAAATTTTTTTCCGGAGAACAACCTCCCCCTCCCCCCCCGTCGCTAAAAAATGTACCATTTTAGGCGGGTAAAAAAATTTTCCGGACGAATACGTTCCTATTGCTTTTCAGGGACTTTATCTCATTTTTTATGCCAAATGTCAGTTCTTACTCCAAGAAAACAAATATCTTGTCCTTTGCGCGGAAATATTTAACACACAAAAAAGACTGGGGCCCAACAAAAAATTTTGAGGGGCCCCAGCACCTCGGGGCCCGGGGCAATTTGCCCCCCCTGCCCCCTCTCGGCGGCCCTGCACCGGGGGTTATATCATATGAGATGTTGGTGAGAACGGTACTTCTAATTTGATTCATCGAACACTACAGACTTTCTCCAGGCAAGCTAGTTTCTTCCCTAAAGGCTCATTTCCACTCAGGAAAGTTTTCCGCAGAAAGAAGAATTTTGTAAAACGCGAGTGGCAGATACAAATTTTCCGTCGAAAAAGTTTTAACAATGATATTTTCGGAACATTTTCTGCCTGTAAAGGGGTGGCGCAATCCTCCTCCGCAGGCATCGCATTTATCTTATCGGGCAAAATTTGCCTGCAGGCAAAATGAATTGTAAAGTACTTGAACCACGAGATGCCTGCGGAGGATATACTAAAACTGTCTGTACCAGTGTGGGTAGTACCGATGTGAAAATGCTGTGCTGAGAGTGGTTATATTAGGAGGCTAGGGTGGCTCTTGCACTGGAGCTCTAGGAAAAACTGTTGAGAACTGAGAGAACTATCCAGTTTATAAAGTGTAAATGCTCAAGCTTGCTACTCACCAATACTATATCTCCCATTCGTAACGTCAAGAATGTATCGTCCGTGATATTAGCGTAATCTTTGATTGCTTTCGCGTACACAACTTCCACTGACGCTTCTAGAAATTAAACGTTACTGTATAATTTTCCATGATTTACCATGGTCATGAGCAACTTACGAGTATTTGGTCAGACATGTAGTGTGTGTTGGTTGGTCAGACAGGTAGTCTGGTGGTCGGTCAGCTGTCTGTCAGTAAGCCAGCAATTTAGTCAATTTTATTCACATGTATGCATACACCGCGTTATTTTCAATCGCGATTAACTGAAATACCTCGTAATAAATGTTTAATTTCAGATGAAGCTCCAGTCTTTGTAAACTCCGTGACCATGTCTAAGGGTGTCTGTCCTTCTCTGTTCTTTACATTTACATCTATACCAGCCTGAAATAACAGACAACAATAAGCTTTTCTTCACTGGAAAACAATAATAATCATCATCAGTATAATCATCATCAGTATTATCATCATCATTACCACCGCCATCTAATACCATCAACAACACCATTATCATCATCACCACCACCACCCACCACCAACACCAATACCACCATCACCACTGGGTCATCACTCTACCTATACTATCCAGGCTCGTGGTTGGTTGATTATAACAATGAAAGACAATAAAACTATAGAAGTCGTCTTTCTAAAGAACGAGTCACGGACAATGATCATTTTTGGTAGATTTGTTTCTGAAAGCCAATCAGAAAACATGATCATTTTAGGTAGGTCTTTACCCTCAACACCACAATAATCATCACCCATCATCATCACCACCACCACCACCACCACCACCACTACCACTACCATCATCACCACCACCACCACCAGCATCACCACCATCATCACCACCACCACCATCACCACTACCACCATCACCACCACCATCATCATCAACATCATCATTAATTTAATTAAGAAATATATTTCACTCTAGGGAATGCTAATTCATCTGATTGGGTAGTGAGCCTAGTCTATGTACAGTAAAACGTAGGTACCTCAACTAAGTACTTGACAACATCAGTCTTTCCATACAAGGCAGCTTCGTGTAAACATGTTCCTGTAGGTCCTTTCTGATTGATGTCCGCACCAGCTTCAACCAACAGCCTTAAAATACACATAGAGTGGACTCTTGAGGTTTTCGTCTTCTAACTTCGAAAAGAAGGACCATCGTTCAAAATGTCAAAGTTGAATTCGAAAGTGAAAACAAGAACATGTGCCCATGGAATGAATGTTCATTAAGAAGAAGTAAGAACTTTTAATCAGTTCTACATGACCGCCCACAATTCAACGAAATTGAGCGAAAACTTTCGACAGCGAAATTTTTCTTAAAATTTCGACAGCAAAGTGGAAATCCAGCTTTACATTTGCTACAGAAAACGACATATTCATCCAGATCAATGTTTGGTAGTTTTTACTAATTTGATTGTTGTAGACTATTTTTAAGCACTAGCATCGTATTGCCAGCATTCTCTGTGTTCCAATATGAAAATCATATTGACTTACTTGACAACATCAACATGTCCAGTTTTGGCCGCCATATGCAAAGGCGAGGATTTCTCTTGAAATTCTTTCGGATTCAACAGCTTTTCACATTTCCCACGACTGTTGTTCAGTAAGATTCTGACAACCTTGGATGAAACAATTTGCATAATATTAATACTTTACATTTAGTGCCTTGGGTCACTTTGCCATTTCACAACGTACACTTCATTTTCTCTGGGATAATAGACCTTTTGAGTGAAATTTTGATCTAGACAAGTCTAGCCAAAAAATTCATCACAGCTTGAAAGAGCATCACAAAATGTTGTAAAATGTTGATAATATAGCCTTGCTAAGTTTGCCGTTTTTCAGTCATTTTGCATTACAAACGAGAAATTGATAATCAGATGATCAAACTGATTACCAATTTCCCGTTTGTAATCTACAGTAAAATGACTGAAGAACGGCAAACTTCGCAAGGCTATATTATCCGCATTTTACAACATTTCGCAACGAAACTTCGGAATATTACTAATTTTGTGATGCTCTTTCAAGCTGTGATGAAATTTTTGTCCAGGCATATCTAGATAAAAATTTCACTCATAAGGGGAAAGGTATATTTGAAACAACTTTATTTACCTCCAAATGCCCAAAGCGACAAGCCAAATCCAAAGCAGTTTCTCCATGATTGTTAACCACGGTAGGGTCACAGTCGTGGTCGACCAAACGTTCTACCTAAATACAATTAATATAGTAATACGTTTAGGCTCTCTCTTTTTTATAAACACTGAACCAATAAGGGATGACGCTAACTGGACTTCTAAAGCTGCGTCCAGACTGGGTACACGGCACTGGTGCCCGTCACGCCTAGTTTGAACACGACGCTTCCAAATGAAATTGGGCACCGTGCCCAAGAAAGGGCACTACCTCTAGAGGTAGTACTCGACAACGGCACTGTGCTCAACATGTTTTGTGAACCATTTTGAACATTGGGCACCAGTGCTGGGCACTCAGTCTGAACGAGCCCTAAGTTTCGAGAACAGCGTACTGCAGAGTCTGATAGAGCTATCCAATATGTACTTGTATTAATAAAGTTAGTTTAGTTTAGGTTTCCTCCTGGAACAATAAGAGTCAGAGATGATCCTTACTGGACCTCAAAGGAAGAACAATTTGGAACTGAAAGAGCTTTCCAGTATAAATATAGTATCCTTAGTTTAGGTTACACTGGATCAATAAGAGATGATCCTTACTCAAATGGACCCTGTGTTACTACAGGAGGAAACCTAAACTAAAGTAACTTTACTTATACTGGATAACTCTATCAGTTCTAAACTGTTCTCCCTAGAGGTCCAGTAAGGGTCATCTCTTATTAATCCAGTGTTACTACAGGAGAAAACCTAAACTAATCTAACTTTATTTATATTGGATCATAGCTCTATCAGTTCTAAACTGTTATCCCTAGAGGTCCAGTAAGGATCATCTCTCAGGGTTCGTAGTCTCCAAGACCAAAAAAATTCAAAGACTTTCAAAGACTTTTTCTGCCTATTTTCAAACACTTTTCAAAGACCTTTGAGAGCAATCAGCTGTCGAAAAATTGCGAGTGTAAGCACCATTTTTACCCGGTAATTATAGTTCCGTCAAATCACATCCTAAAATGCACGTGCACCTTTTCGTCGATATTTGCGAAAACTTTGCTTCAATCAATCGATATTTTATTACCATTATAAATCATATAATCAATTCCTCACTAAAGAATTTAAAAACTTTTAAAGACTTTCTTTGCTTTTTCACACAATTCAAAGACTTTTCAAAGACCTTAAAGACCTGCATTCAAATTTAAAGACTTTCAAGGATTTCAAAGACCGCTACGAACCCTGTCTCTTATTGATCCAATGTTACTACAGGAGAAAACCTAAACTATTAATAAAACTAACTTTATTGATACTGGATAGCTCTATCAGTTCTAAACTGATCTTCCTAGAGGTCCAGTAAGGATGACTCTTACTGGACTTCTAGGGAGAACAGCTTAAGAATTATCCAGTATAAACAAAGTTACAGCAGTTTATTTCCAAAGTGTGAAACTAACCACTCCATAATTTCCATGTTCTGAAGCAAGATGTAAAGGAGTTGCACCACTTCTGGAACAGAGATTGGTCTCAGCACCAGCATCAAGGAGTAGTAATGCTGGCTCCACTTTACCAGCCCAGGCTGCTAGATGCAGTGGAGTCATTCCTAGAAAGTAAAAAAAAAACATTAGCCCTGGTCTTAGACAGAGTACAATAATGAGGTAATAATAAGGACAGATTGTAGCTAAGATTAACATTACAGAAATGGAAGAAATCAGGATTTTTAATTGAAGGCACATCGAGGTGTATTGCAGCTTGGTTTAATCCATTGTCAGGTAGTCTGGTTACAAATGCACTTTTGTTGTTTGCAAAAAAATTCAAGAACTGATACCTTTCTTATCCTTGGAATTAACATCAGTTGTAAACTCCAACAGTCCCATGACAATCTCACCATTTCCGCTGAGGGCAGCATGATGCAGAGGAATGAATCTGATGAAATTGTACAGAATAAATGTGAGAGATGGGGTGTGTTAACCAGTTGAGCGCCAGTGCTATCTTCTTAACCAGTAAAATTGTCTGGCAATAGACAGATTGAAATGTATAATAAAGTAGAGCACATTGGGGTGCCATATGCAACAGAATGGGTTAACTAGACTTGTAGGCAGACAGTCTGATTAACCCATCAAGTGCCAGCAATCTCCCCTTGACAAGTGAAATCGTCTGGTGATCAACAAAGTGAAATAAATAATTACAAAATGGGTTAACTAGACTTGTGGGCAGATAGTCTGATTAACCCATTGAGTGGCAGCACTCTCCCCTTGACAAGTAAAATCGTCTGGCGTTAAACAGGGTAAAATAAAAAAGTAAGGCGCATCAGGGTGCATTGCCACTTAAAGGGTTATCTTTATGTGCAGCTGTGACCTATATGCTGAATACCAGAAAACTACTGAGACAAATGACTATCACTATTTCAATTTTACAGAAAAACTTTCTTACGAAGTGTAGACCCTAATTAAGTAACCAAAAAATGTCAAATTTTCACTTTGATCTATCATTGAAACTTTCCCAAGGTGAGGTGCAAAAATTCTCAGCGAAGGTGCAAAACGATCTCACACCTCCTCTCAGGATCCAGCAATGATGCTGAATGAAACTCAGAAATACTTACATAAAAAACAAGTTTTAATACAGAGAACTTCTGGAATGCACAGTGCATTGTGAATGTGGGTGCTTTTGGGTCAATTTGTTGTTTAAAAATTATGTGACGTAAGCTTCAAAGGTCATTACACAGCTCAACATGATCAATTTGAAGGATAACTAAGAGTGCCTCTGGCTGTCATTGTAGGACAACAATGTCTGATCATAGAAAACTGTGGATGAGAAGTTTATGTTTGTGGCTTATCCCATACCAGACTGTCTACATTCCCTGTTGGAACATTGACAGACTCTTTTCACATAAGTGCCACAAGTCTGGCAAGAATTGAACCTACAATCTCTGAGGAAGAAGGCTCTTGTTACACTGTAATCCTCATTTGACCTCAGAGACTTAATATAAGTTCAGACTCAACACTAAAGCATGCAGAGAATTCATTCAATATCATGTGAATGCATTCAAGTGATCTAAACTAAGAACATAAAGGAATGTTCTTGGAACTAACCCATCATGATCCACAATGTGAAGAGAACTTTTCTTGTGTCCTTTTTCTAGAAATATAAATTCAACATTCAGTTCATTTGAAATCTAATATTTAAAGTGATATTAAAATTTTTATTTTCTTATTAATAATTAAATGAAAATGCTCTTAAAACTGTATAGTAACTTGTTTTGAAGATTTTTGTTCCCATGCTTAGTTCTTGAGGTATTTCATTTAGTTTGTAACCATGTGACGTCATTTACTCAATTACATATATTTTTTAGATATCAGTAATTGTTGTGTATCTTTGCTATTTTTAGCAAAATCTTTCCAAAGATGTGGCACGTTTGTTAATTTAACCATTATTTAAACATCATTAAGCATACTGGGTTTTTTTAAACAAATCCATCAAAAATACCAAAGATACACAACATTTACTGATATCACATTATCTATATATTATATATGTAATTGAGTAAATGACATCACATACTTTCAAACAAAATGAAATATCTCAAGAACAAACCATGGGAACCAATTTGTTTCAAAAGAAAACTGTACTTTACAGTTTTAGGAGTTCTTTCGTTTGAGACTATAAAAATTTTAATGACAGTGCCACTTTAAACAGTAAGCTGGATTAAACTAAATACCAAATATTTCACTATACTGATGTACAAAGAGCCAGAAATAATGGTCAAAAAACAGCCAGACAAACTTCTGACTAAAATTAAATTTGATCAGAAATTTTCAAATTTGGTCAGACACAAAAATGAAATTTTCTGTATTGCTACACCGTAATCTCACATTCTTTGAGAATATGTATGCACATATTTGTTCACATCTGTCTTCGATGAAAACAGACTGCTAATTGTTTTGTCCAGACAAATAATTACATATTATTACTTTATAAATGACATATAATAACACCTTATTGGTTAACAAGAGTTCCAAGAAGATATTAATCCCTAACACAGTTTAACCCATTAAGCTACAATGCATCCAAATGTGCCCCCTACTCTATTATTTTACTCAGTCTTGATGGCAGACAATTTTACTTTCAACAGGAGAGTCCTGTGTTTCAATGACGATTAAAATTGTCCAATGAAAGACAATTGAAATGAAAAGACAATGTGAAATAACAAGGTAGGGTGTATAAGGGTTCATTAATTGTAGCTTAATGCATTAAGTATGATGCCTCAAGTGGCTCATATAGTAAAATACAGTATTCCTAACTTTTATATATTGTAAATAGTATAAGACTTTGAACAAACCAACTACTAATTAATTTTATAGTATAGACCTTGTGTAAACTAGCATTAGCTAACTAAGTATCTAATTAAATACAAATACAAAATACAAAGTCTAGTCAATTTGAAAAGCTCAAAATTCAATAGTTCAGCACATGTAACATACGCTGTCCGAATCAGCGCCACTAATATAGTAGTATTGTATAGTAGTGATATTAATTTGCTCACAATACTAAATTAAATTTGAACTGAATCCGGGCACATAAAAAGCACACTGCGTGAAATAATGGGTTCCTATATTGCTTATATTGTATTTCAATTAGAGCGAAACAAAGAGTCACATGCCTGGAGAGAATTCTATCGAACGTATTGTCTGATGGGGAAGAGAGTTGTGAGGAGATAGTTTAATGAACAAGTCAAACAAGAACAAGACTAGCATTACCAGTCACACAAACTCTCATCAGGACTTGCATTACAAGTAACACAAGCACAAACTCTCATAGGAGTGCACGACTATACTAAGAGTCGATAAAAGTTGGCAATCAAACGTACCACGAGTTGGAACTTCGTCAACTCTCCTCAACTCTAATGCTAGGTTTAATATATGTTCATGCTCAGCACAAAAGCATGCAGAGATTAAGTATAGGCAAGGCGCCTTATCTAAATTTTGTAACAAATTAACAATTAATAAGGATTAACATTCTTAAATTAGACGTATCCGTTATAAAGGGCTTCTGTCTAGGTTCTAGAATAAATATTTAAATGTCCGCCAAATGCAATATCTGCCTTGATGGGAGGCAAAATATCACACCTTTTTGACATTTGAACTAATAGAAAATATATCAACAGCATTCATGAATAGCATATGAAATTTAATTGCGTTACTATTCAACGCCAGTTTGCAAATCATTACAAAATACAAATAGTATGGCATTTGTCCAAAATCAATTTTTAAAGGGCGAAGGAAACAGCATTATATCTGGCAAATAATGCCAAAAGAGAAATGTATCGGCTTAATAAACAAAGCAAATACGAGGGGTAAACATCGCTGATTTGTTTACAAAATCGCGTTGAAAATATTACGAGTTGAAAATATGCACAATTGTTTAATAACATTTGAAAAGCACACATGTAAAATTTTACCCCTTGTGGTTTCAAAATGGTCAAACTCTAAACGTACCTCGATTATTTGTTAATTTCTGAATATTTTCCGACACCAAATACAAGTGATTTGTTTGCATTTTATTTAAAGCATTTACTGTATTGCCATGTTTCAAATGTCGCGAGTGTCAAAAGATATACAGTCATTGATACAAAATAAACTTACTCGTTTTCGGCTTGAATTTCGCTATTATTTTCCTGAACGATTCCACGTCGTTTGTCCTTATAGACTGAACTAGCTCTTGCTCTTTTCCCATTGTCTTTCATTCCCCAGTTTCTCGATATTTTCGGCAGACAATTGCTGTTCAAATAGTCATCAGACATTCATAATTAGATCTCTTGCGATAGGGTTAAGCCGACCGCTACTGCTATCAATTCATTCTGTCAAAATCGAGCTCCCATCCTTCTGCAACCGTTTAGGTGTACATCCACTAAATTTACAAGCATATAGGCTTCTTCTAGCCTATTGTTCAGTCTCAGATACGGCACAAAGGCTGTCAAATCACCCAAAACAACAACATATGACTGACAACTCTACTAGCCCAAAGCTTCGCGTTCGGCACATCAAATAATTTTTATTGATTGTGCTTCCACATTCATGAAGCTACATTTCCTTGGATAAGCTTCTGAATTTCTTTTAGTAATAAAACACTTGGTAAAAATATGGAATTTCAAACTTCTCCAAAATTTATTTATGTTTATTTCTACGTTACATATAAAAACTACCAGATAAGTCTCAATTTTATTTGTTTTCTTTAGTTTGCACTTTGCTTAGCTTTTCATATTATTTGCATTAATTTTATTTCCTCTTTTTTCTCTGCTTAAATTTCTTTGACAATAAGATTTCCTTCAAAGTGGAAACTCTGTCGTTTGACGCACAAAATGTAATTTTCGAAACGGAATTTATGCGGAAAGATTAATTAATGACCCACGCCGATAACTTTCGATATTAACTATAACATTTTGATATATAAAGGTACATGAAGTGAAATAGCCCCGTTAGCTAAAGCTTTATTTTCATAGATTTTGCTTTATTAAAAATCTATCAATGTTATCCCATTACAGTGTAAATCAAATTAATTAATGAAAAGCAATGTGACAGAGCGCACGCCTTTTTAAGAATTAATGCGTTTAAGTTAATTAGATAGACCATATTATGAACAGGGCGCGTCCGCAGGTGACCTCTATTAACCTATAGGTGACATCAGGTCAGTCACGTCAATAATTTTTCCTATAGTTGGGTTTCAGTCACGTGACACGTTTAGCGCTTGGGAACTATCGGATCGAGTATTGATTTTGTGTTTGGTATCAAATATATGCAATTTAACGAAATTTACGCCAGTGAAACCCACCTATTTCGGATATAAGAAAGAGTAAAATTGTCAGGCGTAAGCAGACAGTCATTTTGCATCACATATCTTGCAATTCCATATCAATTCAATCGAAAATGCATTGTTTTACAATCTATACCAGATTGAAAGGAATAATCTTTCAGCTCAAGGATCATCCGTTTTGTAAACACAAAACGAACTATCTAGAACCATAGCACGCGCTGAGTGTGTTTTAAATTTGGCAATCTGTTTGGTTTTCATATTAAGTTTTTAAACGCTCTCTGCTTCAAAATATTTATTTTACGAGCTAATTTCGACTACCAGTCTTCAAGGGGTAAGCTACAATGAGTGACAGCAGTTACGTATATACAAACAAAAATGATTAATTCATTGATATAAATAAATCAATATTTTGAACCAGAGAGCGTGCAAAAACATAATATGAATAATCCTAGTTTTTCCACAAACATATTTAAATGTTTGGTTTTCAGAAGATATACTTTTTATTATCTACACTATGAACTTTCGAAATACAATCATGGAAATGAATTCGTATATACCTATTGAAAAAATTTCGTAGACTAAAAGAGGGTGGGGGGAGGTGCTATTTCTAGCGATCATTATAAAATGGCTTTACAAAATAGGAAGACTTTTCTACAAGATCGAGACAAGATTTGTTTTAAAGAAGTCTACTGATATTATTTCCATGATTGTACTTGAATGCTTTAAGCTAGATTATAAACACTTCTAAAGACCTTGACGATGGGGCTTCGCTTAATAAAACTTGGAAGCGTTTCTAATATTTAGCATATTGAGGTAATATTTTAGAAGAAAGCAACTGGTTCTAGACGTCTCTCCTGGAAGAACTGATGAGGCTTCACTTCGACATTGTTGTTGTTTGGCTTCCCGAAGAATGAAGTGATACTCGCAGTGCCTTTCAGATCTTCAGGCACTTCGTCTTCATCGTCATCATCCCTTTGATAAAAAAAGATAGATCAAAAGTTACTTTGTGTTTACAGTAAATAATCCTATTTACATTATCCAATATGAATGTGGGCATGACCAAATGCGCTTTACATATTACGCTTATCATAATTATAGTTAGCCTAGACTATTTTATCTTTACAACAACAATTGTGATATTACTTTCAGTGCCTATGACACGAAATTTCACCCCGAAGATTTATGGTTGCATTGTAAAGATCACTTAAGGCCATGTTACACTGATATTACTTTCAGTGCCTATGACACGAAATTTCACCCCGAAGATTTATGGTTGCATTGTAAAGATCACTTAAGGCCTTGCAACATGCAATGCAATTCTACTCTTGAGAGATGTAAAATTGCCAAATACGAGTCTTCGTTACACTCCGCTGATGTTTTCTCAACATATCGAAAATTCTTCACTGGTTTCACTAATTAACATCTCTCAAGAGTAGAATTGCATTGCAAGTTGCAAGAAAAATTGCACCGTGTAACATGGCCTTTAAAACTAGAAGTTACTATCGCAAGGAAAATGCTGCCTCACCCCCAAGGGATGAAGGCAGCATTAGCAATTTGCTGAATAAGGGTCCTGTTTATATGATCCCACTAGGACGAGATATGAGGCAGGATGATTTCGATATACTGAATTAAATCACGGTGCATGATTCAGCAAACAGGGACGTCGCTACAGGGTGTGTGTGGAGGGTGTAACATCCCCCCCCCCCCAATAATTCTAAATGTTGGTGAAAGTTGGTCAAAATGGAACTAATATTTGTTTAAAATAATTAAAGGTCAAAGTTGGTAAGATTCGGTCAAAGTTTGAGATAAAAGACTATCATAGTTATGATATCGTTCGCAATGTTAACAATTTCTAAGCTTTGGTCATGTTTGCGCTGACTGAACAATTGCAAGCCTTGCTTATTTTGGTCGAAAATTGGTCAAAATTCTAGGAAAAGTTGGTCAAAACATGACGACCCCCTCCCCCCAATGCTGATATCTTCACGACGTCCCTGCCAGCAAAAAACTTCATTATTTTCTATAGATGGATGGACTATAGTTAACTATAAACGAAAGGTTGTTCAAACATAATAACTTTCTTGAACCACGCGATCTTCTCTACAACATTTGAGTTCTGTTAACCAGCATTTGAAGTTCATTTACATAGTGACTAATATTTCAATACATCAAAATCATTGCCTTCCATCATGCAAACAGCCCCCAAAACTCCTGTTCAGGAGGTATGAAAAGTGCAATTTGAATATCAAACACCTTGCACAAAGTCGAAGGCGGCTAAATGTTCTAATTCTACTTTCTTTGCATGGGCCATGGGCGGTTTTATATGAATATCTTCAATGCTTATAACTTCTTGCTTTTGTATGTATATAAATCATAATACTGTCAGTGGTGAAGCTGGCCATAGCAACAGGTCATGCTATGCAAGTTTTTAATGAT